TAGCTGACTTCTGTTTTTTTTTTTTTTTTTTTTTTTTTTTTTTATGACAGATTTAGTCTTTCTGCACATTTGGAATGTATAAAATATAACATTTTCAATTGTTTTGATTTTTTTGATTTCTGCTAAAAATATATTTTTAAAATTAAATAAAAATTATATATTTTTCTAAATTTTTACTGTTGGTAATTGTGATGTTTTTATGCATTCCAATTATAAATCTAGGCAACTTTTATAAGCACAAAAAATTTCAAATTGATATCTTTAGCGGTTACAGTAGAGTCCCGCAAACTCGGCATAATGTGGACTAGAAGGGTGCCGAGTTTTTGAAATGCCAGGTTGTCAGGAACTAGGGTTAAAAATAAGGACAATACAATTTTTAAGAATTTTAACCTTCTTTTAGCTAATTTCCCATATAGGGAATATTAGCGAATTTCCCATATAGGGAATATTAGCGAATTTCCCATTATAGGGAATATTAGCAAATTTCCCATATAGGGAATAAGCTATGGCCGTAGTACTCATGGTAAGACCTGGACCCGGGACCGATTTAATTTTTCATTTTGAGGTCCCTAGAGGCCAAAAACACCATCCGCTCAAATTCATATATATATATGTGTCCGTTAGCGCGATAACTCGAGCAAAAATGATCCGATTTTGATGAAATTTGGTATAAACATGTAAACCTACATTTATTCGAACGAGTTTGCAAACCAGCATGATCGGACTATGGAAACGGGGTTTTAAAAGGGGGTTTATGGGGTAAAATAGGTTTTTCCCATTTTTGACCCTAAAAACACAAAATTTTACAATTTCTTTCCAAACCATTTTGCAGAGCTTAAAAAAACAAATAATTTAGTATATTGAAGCGTTGTTGTGCGCCTAATGGTTACAGTGAAAATTCCAAAAAATTGTAAATATTTAAAATTCCCATGTTATTCTAATGGAGAATAAGTCAACTGTTGTAGTTTCCTTGTTTATGAACATATTTTGATCGAGTTTGGAAAATACTTTCATTTCTTACAATGCTAAACTAAACTATTAACATTTTACAAAAAAATACACTTTTACCCTCCCTGTTGCAGCAAACCTAAGTACTCTTTAAACTAAGTATATTTAAATAGGAAATAATGTGATATTTTTATGGAGGCATTTTAGTGTAAATCGAATCAGGTTAGTGGAAATTCGCTTAGTCTGCAGGTTTGCTGTGGCGGGGGTATTTTTATATTACAAGTCAGTATTAAGTCATCAGATATAGTACAAAAAATCCTTGGTACGAGTTGTGAATGATTTTACTTGAGCTGGCTGAGTCCATGTTTAACTCGGACTTAAAATATCACTAATTTTCTGAGCCAGGTGATGCCCGAGTTATCCAGACTGCCGGTTTACCGAGTGCCGAGTTTGCGGGACTCTACTTTATTGAGAAAAAGGAACATATGTGCTAAAAAAAAATAACTTTTGGAAAACCACAAAATATGGGAAGCTCTGTCCCAGCTGAAAAACAGCTGACATACTCTTATAAAATAATGTTTATACTATATTTAGGGTTAACAGTTTACTTATTGTTGCATATCGTTAGAAACGGGGAAATTCAGGCTACAAAATGGTTATAATATAAAATGAATTTGAAAAAAAATTCTTTTGATGGACTTAAAATATACAAATGTCAAAGTTAGTGTCCTCTGCCCCAGCTGAAAAACAGCTGACATACTCTAAAAAAATAATTTTTATATTATATCTAGGGCCAATAACTTACTTACGTATGTCGTTGCGGAAATTTCAGGCTACAAAATGGCAGTATAAAACCATTAAAAAAAACTTTTTTTGGTGCACCAATTCCCTTAACTTATATTTTATTCAGGACTTTTTAACAATGTAGAATATTAAATGATTAACTAAAGTCAACGTTGTTTTTTTATCAATTAGTGAGAAATAAACAAACATAATTATATATTTACTTGTTGGTGTGTATAGTAAAAATACCCAATTCATATAGATAGAATAATCCAATTCCACTTTATAAGATATGTTTATAAAGATAGCCTACTATAGCTATTGTACCCTAGCTATTGTTAAGTAGTTTGAATTTATAAACAAAAAGCCACCAAATTTATACAAAAAAGTATAACCTACATTGTAATTGTCCTACTGTTTACATGATAATAAATCAATGACATTATTTTCTTAACTTGAACACTTTAATAAATCGAAAGCAGAGCCTGGATTGATACAGTAATGTTGGGAAATATGCAGCAGATTAAAGAAAAACTAGATTTGTTACCGGTAACGGTTTGAAAAATTTCATGTTTGATTGATTTTAACCAAGACATTGGGACCTCATCAAATCCTGAAGAAGTTTTATTTGGCCTACTAAATATCCTATTTAGATCAAAATATTAATTTGAGAATACCTAGCACGAATACTAGAAAAATTACCCGGTATGGATCATAAACATAAACAAATGACGATGCTGGCCCGAATCCTATACTAATAGCATTGAACATATGTTTTAGTAGTTCCATTTAAGCGATGTTAAATAATGTTTATTTTCAGGCCAAAAACGTCACTTGTTGATGTTTATGATCCATACCGGTATTTTTCTAGTAATCGTGATACCTAGTTATTTAAAACTGCAGAATGGTGTAGATATTTTAATTCCCAATAACATAAGATAAATGTTATTTGTTATATAACCACATTTAGCTACATAAATAAAATCTGTAAAATCCTGTACCTATTCGATCAATGGTCGTTACCAAATTGCGATCTAAATGTAAACTTAAGACTCTCTCTGTATTATTTGATCAGTGGTCATTATCAGATTTTTTTTGTATTGTAATTTCCTTTGTACTGTGTTTAGGTCGTGGCTTGATTTTAAGATATGCTATAATTCTTTGTTTTAGCGAATTTACCATATAGGGAATAAGCTATTACCATAGATGAAGTCCTTCATCTATGCTATTACCGTAGTACTCATTGTAAGACCTGGACCCGGGACCGATTTAATTTTTAATTTTGAGGTCCCTAGAAGCCAAAAGCACTACCTATCCGTTCAAATTCATATATATATAAAATATGTGTCTGTTAGCGCGATAACTTGAGCAAAAATTATCCGATTTTGATTAAATTTGGTACAAACGTGTAAACTTACGTTTATTCTAACGAGTTCACGATCCAGCATAATCGGACCATGGGAACAGGGGTTTATGGGGGGTTTAATGGGGTAAAAATGGGGTTTTCCCGCATTTTTGACCCTAAAAACAAAAAATTTTGCAATTTCTTTTCAAACTTAAAAAAAGAAATAATTTAGTCTATTGAAGCCTAGCGCTGTTGTATGCCAAACGGTCACAGGGAAAATTAAAAAATAGTGTAATTTAAAATTCCCATGTTATTCTAATGGACATATGGATATATAGCCTATTGATAAAATTTGGCAAATTTATTGATTTCATCCTATACTATTGACGTATGGTCAAAAAACACTTTTTACCTTCCCCGTAGCAGCAAACCTAAGTACTCGTTAAATCTAATGTTATTTAAGTAGGGAATAAATATGTCTTATTTATGGAAATATTTTAGTAAAAATTGTAATCAGACAAGTCGAAATTCGCTTAGTCTGCAGGTTTGCTGCGGCGGGGGTATTGTTTACATTTACATCGTTATTTTGTAACCCTCATGGCAACCCATAAGGCCAATGTTAAAATTTTAAAACTTTGAGTTACTTTTAAATTATATAGGCATTATCAAAAATTGAAATTGTTCTTGTCTAAACCTTCTAAACATTTGATACAACAACCTTGGCTAAAAAATGTTCAGCTGTTATTGCTGAGTTAATGTGTTAGAAAGTTTGTGTTGAAGTCAATCCCAAAGAGCTTCGCTTCACTCCGCTCAAGAAGGAAGGATATGATTTGTTTGTTGTTTGTTGAAACATTTTAGTATAAATCCGACATGGATTGAAATTTTCTTAGACTTCAGGTTTGCTGGGGCGGGTGTATTTTGTAATAAAACAATCCAAACCTTGGTAATGTATTATTTTTCAAACATAGGTGATATAATGTATCAATAGAATATCCATGATTCTGAATCACTAATGAAAGAGTTACTGTTTTCAAGGTTGAACTAACTTCTCATTGAACTATTTTGCACTAACTGCGTTCTCATTTGACTAGAAGGTTAGTCTCTTGAATACACTGAGAATTAACATTATTGATGTTTACAGTTTTCTTGAACTTGAGTCTTTAAATGTTTGAAATGACCTCACATTGTGGTATTGAGACAGCAAATGGTCTAGCGGAATTTTTTAACATGTTTTCCCTATTACAATCAGTAAAAACTTTACAAAGATCATCATTTGATACTTAAACATTCAGCCTCAATATTTTTCATCATTTGGCAAATATTATTAATGATAATTTGGGTTTTTTTTTGTTATGTAGGCTGTTGGTATTATTTACGTTTTGAAAGAGAACCCTTGTCTTCTCACTACCAAACGTTGACCTTTTGTTTTAGATAACATCATTAAACAATAGCACAACGACAAATGACATCCGGGTCCAGTTCCAGTGGACTATCCCTTACTTTAGATTTCCCTTGCATTGAGATCGAACCAGCGACCTTCAGATATGAAGGTGAGCACTATAACCAGGCTATCCAGACAATTATTTAATTATCATATTAAAAGTTCACTTCTGTGTAAAAATATGTCACGTTTCTTTACCAATTTATTTGTTTTATGGTAACTGTAGGAAAAATATAAGGTGCAGCTTGAGTGCAAAGTGCAATTGCCTCACTCGAGAAACCATTCCTCACTCGCCTACGGCTCGTGAGTAAGTATTTCTCTCGAGTGAGTCAATTGCTCCCTTTGCTCACTAGTTGCATAAATAACTATTGTGTAGCCTTTACCACTATGATACATTTACCAATAAATTGAATTACTGGGATTTTTTATAACTAAACATGACTGTAATTAATTAGACCACTGATTTTATTGACTAGTGACAAAAGACGTGAATGAAATTTTACACAGGTACAAGACAAATATTTTATTAATGCAAAAAACGTGTTAAAGTATGCATAAAATATGTTTTACACAATGAGACATCAAAAGGAACAATTAAAAAAAGTGTCCTTTAAAATTAAAAAAGGTATTCAAACATATCAAATCTACCTTAAAACTAAAACTTTAAATTTATTTTGGAAGTAGCAATATTCACAGAATCTTTTATATACAAAATTTACACTTGTGTATGCAAACTATTCCTTGGTTTTACGGCAATGGCAATTAATGCTCAGGATATTTCTTTTGATGAAGTACCAAGGTGTAGTTATATCAAGCCTAACTATAGTATACTGTACACGGTTTATCTTATCATACAAAAACATGAAGACAAAACAACCCAACCGATAATCCATTCACTTGTGCGGTTTATCCAGAATATCTATCTTCTTTGACTTCATGCCCGTTTGTTCTTTACTAGCTTCCCTTCTTCGTTTGGTAATGGCATTGCGAGGATCAGATATTTCAAACCAATCATCATCTTTTGTACTTGCATCTTTGGCCAGGACCGGATTTTTGTCCTCAAAATGAAGTTCGTGAGCCAACCTAAAAATGTAGTTAACTATGTTATTATTGTAAAGTACGTTGATTACTGGTCCACACACAAATTGCACACATATTGAGCTTTAAACTTTTTTGGAGATGTATAAACAGTGGTGTAGTGAAGCGGGAATGCATGAGAACAGTGTTCATATTAGGTGACCCATATATCCTATATAGTAGGTGACCCCTAGTTTTTCCGAAATCGTGAGCATTCTCCCACTTGAAAATTTACAACTACAACACCGCACATAAACTTGCTTCTAAAGCAAATTTATTTAAGAACAATTTGGTATAAAGTTGACTCTCTATCTTATTCTTATGTGATTTTAAATACCACAAACTGAAACATTGGTTAAATAAACAGTTGTTTCTATTAACAGTTTGTAATAACATGCCTATATAATCATGTTTTAGTTAAGGAAATAATAATTGTAATTTAAGTTAGAAATCATTTATTTTACTTGGATTTGAACAATAGTTTGATTTTGAGACATTGAAAACATAATAAACATAAGAAACAAAATAAGGAAGTTCTGATCACTTTAAAACCTTTTCATTACCCTGCTGTGTTCAAATTAATTCACACGGATTGTTTTTACCAATGGATGAGTTAAACTATTATTTTGCAAGAAACACCGAGCACCAAATTTGAAAACACCTGAAACTTACCAAGTTTCATCAATATCATCATCAACTTCTTCTTTGCTCTCCTTTTTTACCTCACTAGCTTTTTCCTTTGCTGATGACAGCTTATTTTTGAACTTCTCTAGCAAAGCTAGAGTCATTGCCTCCCTAGAAGCTCCTAAAACATAATTTGCTGGTTAGACATCAATATAAAACTCTGACCAATCAATTAAGGAACAAAATTAGCTATCTTGCCTCCGTTTGTAGTCCAAATATTTTGTCAATTGGTGCAGACTAGTTTACGCAATATTGTCAAAGCTAGCAACATGTCAAAAAATCAGAATAAAGTATACGTTAAACATGGCATAAATCTCTGATTCGGACATAAAGCGTAAAGAAGAAAGATGGCGCTATCAAACCAGTATCCGGCAACGGCAGTAGTCTTCGGACTAAATTTTGGACTACAGACAGTAAGGTTGCCTATTTTGCCATAAAGGAGTCCGAAAATACTGTCATTAATAACCATGATTGAAAATAAACATTAATAATTAAGCTAGCATAACCTAGCATTAATATAAGAGCAATAATAAAGAATCGGTTATCCTTTGTACTATATGTGTTTCATTAGTTGTCGTACGTATTTTAATTTAGTTATAAGCACTTCATATACACAATAAGACAATTAAACGTTACGGTACTTAAATTATAAATAGTCAAAGGCAAGACAACGTCTGCCGGGTTCAGCTAGTATTGTATAAAAAATTGTCTATAACAATAGGTAGCCAAGGAAGAACCAATGTCCATTAAGGGAAGATATTTGTTCAAATAAATTCATTTGAACAATCACTAGTTCCACAAAATACAAAAACCATTTTAGACTTAACCATCTTAACATGTACTAACCTTTTTTGGGTAGTTGTGATTGTTTCTCTCTGAATTCCTGCATTTCTTTGTCTAATTCAACTTTCAAACTGTCTTTGTTGTCAGTTTTGGGGGGAGATTTCTCTCTCTCTTTCTCTTTCACAGTTTCTTTTCTTTTTGATAGAAGACCTTTTTTCAACATGTCGTATTCTCGTTTCAGCTCCTCCCTATGGTAAAATTATTAATTAAATTTGAGGCAGGAGAAACTCTACATTAGTTCTATAATTTAATCTATGCTTGATAAGAGCACAATTTGGGCGTTGGGTTTTATGATAGTGAAAGGGTAAAATATAAAAGCATGCCCTGTACCCAGTAGTATTAAAATATTTTTAATCTACTTAAAACTTCAATAAGCCTAATCACAAGTTTTGATTTATTTATATGTTAATGTCTTTAGTTATAAATGAGCTAGTAAGCTGTATTAAGATCACATTTGTCATAAGAGGTGCAGCAAACGCTCAACATGGTGACGTGGGGATGACTGTCAGGGGCGATACAAGACTGCTGGAGGAGAAGCACTTTGACCAGTCCCCAGTCAATTATGTGTCAGCTCCAGCTGTTGACCTAATGTTATACGAAATCTTACAGTACAATATCTGGGGATGGGAAATATTAAAAAATATGATACCCACAACCCAAGCAGTGGTAAGTCTAGCCTCTAGAGTCTCACTCTATTTATTAATAGTTTAAGAGAGTATGTTTATTACATGTTACTCTTAGTATAAGTTTAAATATTTTGTATTTCTTTTAATACATTGTTTTGTCCGTTAATGCAAGCGTAGATTATGTCTTACACACGATTTTGTGTAATACCAAGTTCTGCACTCTTAACAATTTGTCTATCAATTGATCTATCAATTTGACTATTAATACAACTAGACACTCCTCTCCCAAACTTTTTACCAAGTAAAACTAATGAAATTTGTTATTGTGTGTTATAGCAACTTTTAAGACCCATAAACTTGGTCAGCAACAAAAAATAAGGCAGAAAATCAAATTTTAGACACTAGCACATTTTGTAACTCAAGAACTCAGGAATATATAAGATAGCCTCTGTTCTGAGCCAATAAATAACCAATAACTAATTTACAAACTTGTTCACCAGCACTGGGCTATCTCGTTGTAGGCTGGGTTATCTTGACAAATTAAGTTGTCATATTTAGGGGCGAGACAAAACTATTAGGCAGGCACAAAAAACGCCTTACATTTTATTTTGTCTCTACTACGAAATTACGTGACAGGTAGGTTTTACTTAACAGGGTCTTTCACAGCTATCGTCTTTCAACACACGCTTGTCTAAAACCATAGATGAGCCATTTGTTCAAAAATGATCAACTTACGATTTCTTTTTAAGTTCTTCTTTTCTCTCCTTTCCAAATTCATACTCTTCTTCGACTTCATTATCGTCTGGATCATTTTGCACTTTTGTCGTTTCTTTGGTTTTCTGTTTTAACAGTTTATTCTTTATTCTGTCAATTCTTTCCCTGAAACATAGTTGATAATGACAATCAATAATCAATTTAAACAGGGGGAAATCTGCAAAATTATAGGTTAGACTAATTTTTAGTTGGTAAATTGTATCTTTTAATACCCTTTTAATTTATTTTTAAATCCTGTAGTAGCATTTTAACACATAGTCTTATAACAATTATATGATTCAAGTAAATCAAATTGTAACAAATTAAATCCTCGTATGAATACCAGAGGATTTAATTTTTCAACACGGAAGTAAACCATATAAATTTACTGTTCATATTAAACATCATTGACTTAATCTAATATTTTTAGTTAACAAATATATTAAGATTTTTTATAGGTTTTCACTGTGGAATCACCAATCAGAGTAAAAATGGCTTCCATTGAAGTGTGTGACAATCAAGATATTTTGAATATTTTCAAGTTGTAAAATTGTTGCAAAATAGTAGCAAAAACATTACTGTATCATCAATACATTTATCAGTGATTATTAAATATTATGCTGTTTACATAAAAGAATAAAATTTTGAAGAAGAGGGATTATGTTTTGATGATGACTCAATTACAAGACAAAGCTTGCCAAATGAAAAGCAAAAATAACAAAGAACCTAGAATAGATCCTTGGGGAACTCCAAATGTTACTAATTTAGGAAAGAGTAATCAGTTATCATTGTATCATTTGTTCTCTGTTACTTACTTTGCATCATCAGAGTCTTGGTCAGAACTTGATTCTCTGTCAGGGTCAATATCTCCTTGTAACACAGCTGGAGTAGAGATCAGTGTAGGGTCTGACAAGAGGTCGTGCGTGGATTTGCTCTTGCCTGCAAACTTCTTTGCAACCTCAACCGTCTCCTCTTCATCTTCTTCGGCCTCTTCTCCGAACGAGAGTAGTTTAAAGTTTCTACCAACACAACACAGAATATATTCAATGACGGGCTTTGACCAATAACCTCTTTTGTTGTTTTGGCGATACTGTAGACAAGACGATTCAAAGTATGTTCTTTTCAGAGATAGCTAAATGCTTAACAGGTACACACATGTGTGTATGAATATATTTTTTGTGGATTATTTTCCAAGTGTAAACTAGTGAAAAGTTACCACACTGTATAGGGGGCAACAGCCTATCAGCCATGACAATAACCATTATTTGTGTTCTCTTTCTCTACACTTGATAAAGTCCCCTAGGAGACAAATATTGTGTTTTATGAGTCTTCTGTGTTTTCTATGTCCTACCTGTACTAAGATAGGCTAACTACTATCCCCTTTTCTCTAAAATTCAAAATCCAGGCTTAGAGTCTACTCTTAAACAACAATTTCTAATGATATAGTTATCATTTATGCCGTGCAGTATAATGACAGTGTGTGTTATGGTGGTACTAAACCAACTGTTGAATGTAGGAGGGAAATAGCACCCTCTCAATGAGTAATAATTGCAGATATTTTTTATTTTATAATTTTAACTAATGTGAGATTTAAAAATTGTCGATTTAAAAGGATTTAAGTTAAGGATGAAAGGGTTTTACTTCATACTTATAAATTGCAATGCTCAAGCAGCCAAATAAAAAATAAAACCTTTTTAACATAATAGAAACTCATTTTTACCTGCATCCAGCAAAAAATAAATAAAAGCACAAACATAATTAATTTATTTCATGATGGGCTTTGACCAATAACCTCTTTTTATGATTGTATGTGAAGGGCTAGATCAACTAAACAACAATTTAACAATGTAAACAATATTAACCCTAGGAGTGGCGAGACCGATTTTCAGTATGTGCTTTGTGGAGTGGCACGCTCATTTTGGTGAGTTTGTAAGGGAGTTCTTCAAAAATCTGTATAAAATTAGTATGTAGAGATAAACTATTGAACCGTATATTCATTTTGTTCGTAATAGTCAGTAGAATTCAAAAATGGTAATACAAACCAATTTTAGAAAGGTAGATTTTTAGAAAAAAGTAAAAAAAAGAAAATTTATAAATTTTTCAAATTTTATTTCAAAAGCAAACACGTGTCACATGTAACGTAATTTTTTATTGCACAATTCAAAATATGCATTTTTGTTCAGAATTTATTCCTCTACATAGACATATCATAATATACACAAAAGAATTATTTTTATAGATTTACTAGCAATAATACGGAAAAATTGGAAAACGTCAAATTCTTCAACTACACGTTGATAGATCCACAAATGCCCTCTACTAATAAATCAATATGATAAAACCATACATTTTTTGAAGGCAATAATATCATTCTATATAAGAATAACTAAATAAGATAAGTAATAGAATATTTGGTTTTCACAAAAGCAAAAATGTAAACAAAACAACTGATCAGCTGTTATAGCCCACAAAACTTCACTAACTTTTTATCCTATTTTGGATCACACATGTATAAATATTTATGCATGTGAGACGTAGGAATTGGCTAACTCAGGAACTCGCTAACTCGGTCGTGTGGCGGAACTGGCTAACTCTGGAACTGGCTAACCGTCTCAGTCAGGAATTGGCTAACTCCGGAACCCGCTAACTCGATTTTGTCTCGCGGCGGAATTCGCTAACTCTGGAAGTCGCTAACCCGGCCGCGCCCACTGCACGGAGCGTTGCCAACCTTGTACGACAAAATAATCGTACACTGCCGTATTTCAAAATGTCCGCGTCAATAAAGATACAGTAAATGTTATTGTTTTTTTTTATCAATTCCACTTTTAACAGATAACTAGCCCAAAGTAATTCAAAGACAATTAAAAAATCATGAAAAAGTGTTTTTTTTTATAAACTGTACAATGGCCAGTTAAATGTTTATGATTTCGATCTTAAATATAAATGTCATCAGTATAAAAGAAAATAATAGAATATGAAAAATATTGAAAATTCAGTTTAATTGGTACTAAATAATTAAACCTCTACGAAATTAAGCTAAAATACACACAAGTTCTTAAACACGGAAAGCAGATTTAATCTTAATGTCGTAATAAACCAAAACCATTAATTAATACAGTCATCAACCATCGTAACTTTCATTACTAATTCATAGATTTTAAATTAAATGTTCGTCGTTGAACCGTCCAACTTACGTGTACAAATATGATGACATAGACTAAGTTTTTATCTAGGCCTAATAGTGTTAACCAAAGCATTGTAGGCCTACTAGTAAATAGTTGCCTAATACTAAAATGTGTTGAATATTTTAGCAATAATGTTACATGTTTTAAAACTGTTTATAGATTGTACACCTAAGCACCACTAGTAAAAAATTGGAGAAGATATAATATTCATATAATAAAACGTGACAGAGTTATTTTAATTTACGATTCTTAATAAACGAATTGACGGATTTTCCTGATTTGAGTGTTGGGTTTCCTTTATATTGCTTTCACAATCGATATAAACTATACCAAGCCATTGCTCGGTTCACCGTTCCCCAGTACTGAGCTACACAATAGACAATAGCTTTGATTTTGGATAAGATTAAGTAATTTTAGCTATGGCCACCATTCATAAGAATTGTAACAAACAAGAACGCCTGGGTCCATTTAGAACCAGCCTGGAGAAAAACTCCAGACTTTTAAAAAGTAGGCCTACTGAAAGACGTAAAAGTTAATATTAATTCAACAAAATTAAGAGGATGACCCGGGTTCTACACTAATAGCCTACGATAAACGAAATTTACAAGTTGTATTTGCATAGACTAACTTTTAATGCAATCCATGAATACATTAGGCCTACCACTTTATAATGTATTGATAAATATTTATTTAAATGCAATATCTGTATTTAAAAATACATTACCACTACAATGTAATTCTGTAATGACGTTTATCGTGTAAATTTTATTATGATGTATGATTCAAGATTACAAGGCCAGTATATAATATACGAACTCAATAATTTTATTTGCAGAAGTTCACAAAATGGTATTTATTCGAATAAATGAAACAAATCACGGACTACGAAAAAAGATATTTCATAACATGTAATAGATCCAAATTAAATGTGCATTTTTATCTTTTTGCATACCAATAAGCTACTATTTAAGTAAGAAACCCACATATAAAACACTCCCTTATATTAGTACATTTCTCATCCTTATGGATCAGCTGAAGACAGTTTTATCGTTAGTTCTGTCCGGTGCACTGTCTTTAGAGGTCGTGTTTTGTTTACAATTGTTTCTTGTTTTCAGTAATTTAAAACCTTGTTTAAGCAAATAAAACGTTCTAATCATAACTAATAACACGTCCCCTAGTTATATAACCAAACAGTAAAGAACAAATCATGAAGTTAACTATAAAATAATAGAAACACAATTTTGTCGACACTAGCGATCAGTGTCACCGGACATGAACTAGACACGAAAAACGAGCTTCAAAGTTTACAGTGGGATGTAATGTTTACTTGTGTTGGTTAGTCTATGGTAAGACTATAATGCATTTTTCCACCCTAATAATCATAAGAATAATGATAAACATACTTCTAAATATATTTATTTTATTGACTACGTTGCTCTTACTCCTAATTAATCGTAGGATACGACATTATGGTACCGACACGATATAGGTACTACACTTTCGGCAACACTGGCCAAAAATATTCGTGCTTGGCTCCCATTGGACGGCCCGCGAGGTTTCTGATTGGGAGTTAGCGAGTTCCGCCGAGGGACCGAGTTAGCGACTTCCGTACGAGGACGGAATTCGCTAACCCGGCTCTAGAGCGGGTTAGCGGGTTCCGGAGTTAGCCAATTCCGAAACCGAACAAGTTAGCGAGTTCCTCTCATCGACCAAATTTGAAGATAGGGCGTTTAACATGGGGTTAGCGAGTTCCAGAGTTAGCCAATTCCGCGGACCCAAAATAATGCATAAATATTTCGCCTAATACAAAATAAAAACCTAAAACGAACATTACACTGTAAAATTTGGGATAAAACCCACACTTCGTCTTTGTTATCGGACAAAAACTCACGACGACGCCGCCATTTTAGGTTAGACGATGACAAGTGTTCTGTCCCTTAAGCTTTGAAAAATCAAAAGCTTCTATTTGTGTGACCAGCCTAACAACATTGAATTCTACTGTCCTTCGTCTACAAGAGCGTATATAAAACAAAGTTTTTGTACTTTTCACATTGTATATATATGTGATTTAGAAATCGACATTTTATGTCGATCCGCCTTATGAACAATACGTAAAAATAGGCTATTTACAAAAATTGCTCATCAGCTGTTGGAATGTATTATGACGTTATACTTTATACAGAATAAAAGATTTCTTCATGCTTGTTACAGTGGTACCATTTGCTTTTGTCACAGACAAAAATTACGTCTGCTATTTAGTTTTGAAATGACTCATCATTGACGATTGCGCAACAAAACATGGCGTTCGCGAGTTCGCGCGTATTTTTCGTTTAAATGTAACTCATTATAAGATAGATGTATTTATGTTATAAGGTTTATTCTTATAATAAAATGAAACTTCGGACTTAACTTTTCGGCTTGAACTTTGGATGAAACTTATTTCCATTGGTATAAGAGTTATGTCATTTCACCGACTTTAAATGTGCTTAACATGCATAAAAAAACGTTACATCAATCGACATATTCTGTCGCCCGCCACTCCAGCGGCACATTTTGAAATCGACATTTTCTGTCGATCTGCCACTCCTAGGGTTAATACTGTAAACACCAGTTAGGCTAACAAAGGTTGTTCTACAGTGGATGGTGCAAACCAGTCTAAAATGAATTTAAACACAGTTGTTGAAAAATAAAGTTACTTACTTAACTCCAGATACTTTGGTTTTCTTATCCTGTTTTTCATCCTTTTCCTTCTTTTTGGTTACTCTTGGAACAATGTCAGGGAAAGGATTATTTAAAACTTCAGTTCCATTAATTTTTGGCGGATACAACGGTCTGTCATCCTAAAAAAATGTACACTAAGGTCAATGTCAGTATATATTTATCATTAGTGGTATAGCGTATAGCTGAGAATGAATAAGTTTACCATAAGGTAATACACTAGTACACCAAATAAACACACACCAAATATCCAAATTGGTAGTAGCTTACTAGCCGAACCGCTTACAGAAAGAACTTCAAAAACTTAAAACAACAGTAATAAGAATCAATGTTAAAGGAAGCAGAAACCGTGCTGGCGGCAAAATCTAAACCCTCTCCCACGGTCGTGTAGACATCATCATTGTCCTCCACCGTCATGGAAACATCGACATTGTTTTTTGGGATCATGACAAAATCAGGCACGTCTTTCGTAATCTTTTAGACATCGTCATCATTTCGTGCGGTCACAGAAACATCGTCATCATCCTCCGTGATTGCAGCAAAATGGTAAATACATGCCACCGTTGTGCACACACCTTTACAGTCTCCCGTGGTCACATAAACATCGTAAAAGTTTTCCATGTTTGTGGCGAGATCTTGAAAATCTTCTGCAGTCTTGTAGATTAAAAAGTATTTAAGTATAGACATAATTTTTGTCTCTCACAGTCACAGTAAATTGTCCTCTGCGATTGCAGCAAAAGTGTGAATTTTCACACATGTGTTCTGCGATTGTAATAGTAAAAACTCATCTCCATTCAGTCTATTTTCTCCAAAATACCTCCAATTTTTGTAAAAATCCAAATATAAAATTTTTGTACCGGTACTATCCAAATTATAGTTGGAGTTCTAAGTAAGGTGCATTTTTTGAGAGTCTAGATATTATAATCCTAGGCTACTAATATTATGGGTGAGAAAGTTTGTTTGGATGGATGTTTGTGACAAGTAAACGCGAAAAATACTAAACCGACAGGGTTGAAATTCGGTATGATGATAGCTCAAATTCTTGTATAACATATACACATATTCTTATCTCAAAAACCCTTTCGGGCTTTGCCCCAATGGCTCTGGAGTTTCCCATGTTACCCTCATGAGTATTCATATTTAAAAGATATTTTGTCAGCTGTTTCAACTGCACAAGTTGGTTCTATGATATTAAATAGCATTAAAAAGTATAAGGTTTACCAACAGGGTGCAGCACTATTATTTTTTTGAATTTATGACAAAAGTTACAAGAAGTTACCATATAAATTAAAAGAACCAAATTTTCTTAAACCGTATCCTCTCCCATAACTGCATTAAGCATTTTATACTTATATGTCAACCCCGTACGAAGGACGGGTACTCTGCTAGTATTTAATAAATCTGACTAATTAAATACTAAAATACCTAACTGTATACCTGATCCACCATTGTGTCTTCCAGTTTAATCATGTTGTATACAGTTTCTCCTGTAACCTTGGCAAAAATGGTGTGTTTGTTCTGCAAGTCTGGAGTTGGCGCCAGGGTAAAGAAGAATTGCGAACCGTTATCATCCTTCCCAGCGTTTGCCATGGCGACCAGACCTCGTCTGTTGAACCGCAGCCGAGAATGGATCTCATCCTGAATGTGGCAAAAGCAGATTTAGCCAGCGAAAGTTTTATAGAGGTTAGTAAAAAATAAAATATATGTACATAGGCTAATCAATTTATAGATTTCAGGATTATTTTTATAGTAGGATTACCTGAATAAGGAAGAGTCGATTCTGGCACTAGAAACAGAAACTGTAGGCTATACACACAATAATTAACTTATTTCACTGTTACTTGTTAGCATGTTCAAACAAAAAGGGTTTGATCTAGAAGAAAAAGTCAGGTCGAACCAAACTAAGAATACTTACCGGTAGGCTATTACTTTTATAATCTAACGTTTATATTTTGAAGGTTTTTACGCCAATGAGATTTTGAAGGTTTTTTGAAAGAACGGTCCAAAAATAATAAAAGTTCAATGTCCAATGTTGGGTATCAATTGAGTATATTGTTATTAGGTAGCCTATCCTATTGGGTATCCAACATTCATAGGCCTACTACTAAAAAAGGCCTACTCCTAATTAACTCCTGTCCTTTGTCAACTCTACTAGCCTACAGAGCAGCTGTTAGTAAGTGTCAAAGACAGTTCGTTGTGTTTCAGCGTCGAAAACTGTTTTGATGTCCAGTGTGTTGCCTACAGAAAATATTTAAAACCAAACAAAAAAAACCTGGAGTTTAAGAAGAATTTAGGCTAGTGAATCTAAAGATGGCACACTCGTTAGAACAAAACCTGAAGTACTTTAAAGTTACTTACCTTAAAAGGTTCTCCATAGATGGATTCGCCCCCAGTTCCACTGCCCGTGGGATCTCCCCCTTGAACGATGAAACCTTTGACCACACGGTGAAAAATAGTGCCATCGTAGTAGCCCTCTAAGCAAAGCTGGATAAAGTTGCGACAAGCCTTGGGCGCTTCCTTTGACCACAGTTCGATGTCAATATCTCCGACGGAAGTTTTCAATAAAACCTATAAACAGCATGGCATAAGTTCTTTCAAATAAAAAAAATGGTGTAGTAAATCATTAGAGATGAAGTAACTTACCCCCCGGCCTTATTGAGCCCCCCGGTGAACCCCTCCTTCCTGCATTTGTCCCCCTCAATCTTTTGATGCTGACGACGCCAATGGGCTATGTCTTACCCGCGGGGTACGCACGTTTAAGGGTTAAATTGCTAACATTTTAGCCTAGACTTCCATAAGTTATCTGTTGGCACAATCAACCGAATGAAGTATCGATCGATATATCGATTATTTGATATATCATTTGGTTAGTTGGTTGGTTATCTTATACTAACCAAACGATATATCGAATAATCAATATTTTCATTTGGTTGTTTGTGCCAACAGATATGGAAGTCTATACCCACATTTTATAGCCTGACAATGGGCCTATGTCTAGGATTGATCTTTCACATTTATTAAGTGTGTAAGTTACCCTAATGTAATTCACCAATTCATAGCACTTTTCTACAACAGTAAGTTAGTACTAGCCTAGTGGTAATAGGGGGTATCGATTGAAACTATCGAATTGAAAATATTGATTAATAATCGATATTTTTTAATATATTTATTATCAAATTAAACTATCTTAACCTAACCTAACCAACCAAACTTGCTGATGGTGAAGAAATCGCATGAAGGTTTACTAATCGAATCGATAGTTTCAATCGATATTAGCATAGCCCAGTTAAGAAACTGTACCCGTAATAGGCCTAAGTTAGTTCTAAAGTTACCTTCCCACTGGTTGGAGGTTCTTGGATATAAATGTTACTCATCGTAAATGTCTGTTCCTAAAAATGCTACCAATACTGTATTATATGCTACAATACATTCAAAATATTGTCTGCCGTTCCCGTTGCACCCGTTGTGTTATTTTTAAGCTTTAGGTTATGTTGTTGTTGTTGTTGTTGTTGTAAGCCACCTGTAAATCAAATCTGAACCGAACACTGAACAGACACTAGACAGACGACAGACGCACAGTGGGAGTGGAGTGTTTTTTTTCATATATTGATATTGATTGTTTCATGGAGCTTAAAAACTAGCTAATATTATTTTTCTTTGATTAATCTATCTGTTGTGTTTTAAATAAAGAATAGATTTGAATAACTTAATGAACTCATTTTATTAAGATGTAAACAGAAAAACAAAACTGTAAAATCAAAACATAAACAATCATATTAAAATAATGATCAGCTGGTATAACAATCCTCCTCCTTTATTTTTCTTCATATACTTACAATCTTCTTATTTGGTCCACATGTCTTTTACACACAATTCCTTCTTCCATTTTAACAAGATAAATAACATTTCCTATTTGTTTTTCAATTTTTCCAACTGTCCATTTGTCATTTGAATTAAGGGAGTAGTTCCTCACCAGCACTCCCTCTCCTATATTAAAGTGTCGCTTTGTTACTTGCATCTCTGTCTCTTTCAAATTAGGCTTCTCTACTAATAGATCAAGTTCTGTTCTTATATTCCTCCCAAACATGAGGCTATAGGGAGACTTCCCAGTCGTGGAATGCTGTGTTTTTCTCAACTGTTTTAGTATAGTGTTAATCTTGCTCTCGACACATCCATTTGCAATTATAAGGCTCTTCACAGTTTGGACCACCCTTTCAGCTTGTCCATTTGACTTAGGACAAAATGGAGCTATGGTTTTTTGTATTATTCCATACCTTGTGAGAAAATCTTTGAAAGGTTTTGAAGTTAGCTGAGTTCCATTGTCTGATACCAGGACATGAGGAAACCCGAAGGTTGTAAATAATCTATCCAATTGCTTAACACACCAAGCTGTGGTTATAGATTTTGTAGGTATAATTTCTACCCACTTACTGTAAGCGTCAACGACGATTAAGTACCACCAACCCCGCAGTGGACCAGCAAAATCAATGTGTATGCGTTCCCAAGGTCCGTTCGGGAGCTCCCATGGGTGAGTTGTCTCCTTAGGTGGATTTTTCAATTTTTGTTGACATATGAATGACAATGTTTCACCATAGCTTCAATTTCTTGATCCATATTCCTCCAATAACAGTAGCTTCTAGCTAGCAATTTCATTTTTGTCATGCCCATATGACCAGCATGTAATTCTTCCAAGACTTGTTTGTGTAAAGTGGAAGGTACACAAATTCTATGCCCTCTGAATATGCAACCGTCTTGTAGACAAAACTCATTATCATTCAAACTGAGTTCTTTTAAGCTTTTTCCTGATATAAGATGATCGTATACCTTTTTAAGTTCCTCGTCCTTTTGTGTTTCTTCTTCAATTTGTCTTCTTGATACAGGCATCATCTCTACTTGATTTATTAGATACCGTTCATGGTCGTCACATACATTTGATACTTCTGTAACAGGAAATCTTGATAAATAATCCACATTAGCATGTTGTGTCGTACTTCGGTATTCAATCGTATAGTCAAAACCCGATAAGAAATGAGCATAATTAAAAGTCCTTGATGCAGTCATAGATGGTAAGGTCTTTGTCGGGTTGAAGATGGCTACAAGGGGTTTGTGATCAGTTATTAAAACAAACTTCCTTCCATAACAGTATGCAAAGAATTTCTTTAAGCCCCAGTAAATTCCCACAGCTTCTTTATCTATCTGACTGTATTTGCGTTCTGTTTTCGTAAGCGATCTTGATGCAAATGCAATGGGCCTCTCAGATCCATTCTTGTATCTATGTGATAAGCAAGCTCCTAGCCCTGTAGGACTTGCATCTGTTGCTAGGATTAACGTTTCATTTGGGTCATAGTGAGCTAGAGTTTGATCACTTGTTATTTCTGCTTTTACTTTCAGAAATGCATCTTCACATTCTTGAGTCCACGTAAATTGTTTTCCTTGCCGTAACAAACCATTCAGTGGTTCCAGTAAGCTGGACATGTTTGGTACAAAACGTGTGTAATAGTTGGCAAGACCCAAAAATACTCTTAGCTGGTGTACATCACTTGGTCGTTTGGCTTTAGCTTCGATGTTCTTAAAAATGCAGTTCATACGGGGGTTAAAAGACAATGAAATTAGAATTAGACTTCTTCAAGAAAAAGATGGTAAAATTTCTTACAACGAAGTGGTACAAACTGCGATTTCCATAGAACAATCTAAATCTGAAAGTTATGAGATTAACCGGAGAGATGGAAATACAATGCTAAAAGAAACTGCAAACATTAACCGCCTACAATCTGGATACAAAGACAAACAAAGTCAATTTAAGGGAAACAAACCCATAGTTTCATTTGAAGATTTAAGAGGCAAGTGTTACAGGTGTGGCAGTGAACAGCACAAGGCTAATTTATGCAGATTTAAGAACGAATTCTGTAGGAAATGTAATAAGATTGGACATATTTCAAGGGTTTGCTTATCTAGAAGTGGAATTGATGTAAGAACTGGGAAAAACAAGGAATTGAAATCAAAACATAAACAATCATATTAAAATAATGATCAGCTGGTATAACACTATCCTAGTATATATATATGCATGTAATAAAATAATAATGCAATGATTAAATAAACAAATAACCAAATGAAACGTTCTTATTTATAAATTAGAAATCTTTTGGAATTTTAAAATAACTATAGATTTTTCCAAACACCACTAACTTGCTTCATCATTATGCCATGAATCATCGGTGATGTTATACGGATAAAAACACAAAGGTATGGTGGCGAAACTTAAGATTTTCAGTACACACATAATTATGTGTGTATCAATGACTTTGTGGTTATACTCAATTATCTAATTTAATAATATTGAGGGTAAACTTAACTTAGTCACTTTTTTTGAGTGAAAGTCTGGAAGATGAGTTAGTTTGTTAAAACGGTTTTATATAGCTTATTTCAAGAAACTTTGTTCCCATGGTGATTACAGCTAATCAAGCAACGAAGTTACTGATGTAAACTCAATATTATTTTAATCTAAAGCTATATCTAAGGCTATAGGCTAGTCAATGCAAAATGGTACAGTCAATTAAAACTGCCACATAACTCAGTTAAAGGCGGTCGTTCAATCACGTAGAGTTGCGTAACCCAGGTTCAAATATTATTAGAATTACCATTTACTATACATACCGTATATTAATATACTACCATAATTATGGTAGTATAGTAATATTGATTATGGTTTAACTGACACATATTTTTACATAAAACTAATTAAACTTTGTACTTTATAGTTTAATTTGTTTAACTTTACAGGGTTTCCTAGATTAATATACAATTCGTAATGCTTTATTATTGCCCATAATAATGTAATTAAAAAACCCCAATGATAAAGGTTTTAATGGGGTTAAATATTACTATTAAATAATTTACAACGTTATTTAATTATAGTGTTACAGATTAGTAATTTGTCTTTAATTACCGTTCCTAAAAAAAAGAAACTTCAAAAAATGTGGAACGCTTCACGATTTTGCGTGTCATCCTTGCGCAGGGGCCATGCTAATCTTCTCTGTATCGTTCCAATTTTAGTATATGTACTGCCGAAGCAAGTACGGAGGGCGTTGACAACCGGCATGTATATACGCGACCACAACTTGCTCAGATATCGACGAATGGGTTGCACTTTTAGTACACATTTTTAAGTATTAGTTTGTATTTTTATGTACTTTATTTTAATTATTCCATTAACTTTAAGTTCATTTTATCATTCGGTGGCGTTGAATGTTTGTTAAAGTCCATATTAAAGTCAACAACATGTTTTAAAAAGTATTAGTTCGCGATGAAGAAACTCAGTTCGAGATGAAGCTACGCTCTAGCGGCGCAAGCCGTTACTACTAGCCATACTGCTAAGCACAGTACCGTATTCGCAACGATATAAAGTAGTTCTTTACATCGTTGGGTATTCGTCGCCGATTATATATTATTACTAGCTGTGTACCCGTTCTACGCACGGGGATCTTATAATATTCAGTTGAAACCTTCTTATATAAAGAACAGCAGTTGGTTTGCATATTTTAAGATATGCTGGCCAAACTATTATACATAGCTTCATTTTATGTTGTTTTTTGTTGTTCCGGATCGGTATGACAATCAATAAAAGGTTAAATTACCTCTGTGTCTGCCGGTCGATCCTATAACGGTAGGCTTACTTTTATTTTTACTATCTGATCTCGTTTGCATGGCTCAATCACGTCCTGGTTGAAGTTCGTTCGCTACGCTCACTCACCTGTATGTTGGAGCTCGTTCGCTGCGCTCACTTTCCTTCAGGTTAGCTCGTTCGCTACGCTCACTTGCCTTCAGGTTAGCTCGTTCGCTACGCTCACTCGCCTCCAGGTTGCAAATTAGCTGTTGTCATAAATGTAAAAGAAATAATAGTGCTAGTGCTGCACCCTGTTGGTAATCCTTGTAACTTTAATGCTATTGAACATCACAGAACAGAACCAACTTGTTTAATTGAAACAGCTGTTAAGATTCAATAATTTCATTTCTCATAAGGTTAACATGGGCTTCCAGAAATTCAACGTCAAAAATCGACAAAAACTTGATTTTCAAGGGTTTACTGTTAAATATCTAACTGTCTCATATTCGATGAAATACGTCTAAAACCATCTCATATATGTATAGTATTTGGAAAATAAGTTTCAGGCGGGACAGTGCTATAGTTATTGAGGAGTAGTTGTAATAAAGTGCGTATTTTAGCGTTACCAAGAGAATGACAGATAGACAGACAGACAGACAGACAGACAGACAGACAGAAATTGAGATAAGGTTTGTGTTCTATTTCTTATTTAAATAAAAATTAAAAGATCAAAAGAAACTAAACTGTTTTAATCAAGACACTAATACAAGACAATATTATTAAAGAAAAGTAAATAAAATCATATGGTTAAATATTAGTTAAATAAGCATAGAGGTTAAACATCTTTCCCTTT